TGTATGAAAAATGATTTTTCGGTGGCAAGTTGTTGGTGGAAAAGTGTTGCTATGAGAAATATTTGTGTGTTTGAAGGTTTAAAAAATATAATAAAAAGTGTTAGATTTTCTAGGAATTTATCTGTGTTCAACCAAAGCTATAGATACATTTTTGATGTGATTTTTTGTTTAGAAAAAAATCTGATATTTATTTTACTTTGTAAAAAAATATAATTAAAATTTTGTGAACTTTTAGAAATTCTTGATGTGATTATAGAAAAAAATCTAACATTCTTTATTTTAATTTGTGAAAAAAGATTATTTAACTTTTGTGCCATTTTGGATATTTTAAAAATTTCTAGAGCATTTTCAATAAATTTTAGAAAATTTGTTGCCTTCCAATTTGAAAAAAAATCGCATGATATTTGTATCTAACCATTGCCACTGCTCTTTTCCTCTTGTGTATCTTTATGTTCTGCTTAGATTTTGTGTCGCTGAAAGATATATAAAAATTCATTTAACGCATAATAAAAATATCTGCACCTGAGAGACAGACAGACAGACAGCTTTATGGCCTGCAACTATGTATCTAAAGTGCAGTGCAGAATTTTTTGAATTAAATTATTGTCGTACAAGTTGACGCTCAATTAAAGACAGAGAGCAAATCTCTGCTGCTCGTTTCAGCTGCTTTTACAATTTAATGGCAAATAATGCAGTGTTCCGTGTCCCGTATTAGTATTTGTATCTTTTATATGCTTTACCGTGCACTCCGCTTTCCCGTTCGAGCAACTAATGGATTTCGTACTCCTTCTTTGGTTTGGAAAATGGAAAAACAATTAGCAAAATGATTTACATGCCAGCTCTGGCCCATAACCGAACGAAAAAGGAAGAAAACCTTGTTTTTACCGCAATATTTAACAAAATAATTATGAGATCAAAACGAAAAATGCCGACACATCAGAGTGTGGCGCGTGGAGTGGGGCGAGTGGCCACCAGAGTTCATTTAACACTTGCTGCCGCACCGCCGCAGGTTGCGCCAAATGGCACTTTGACATGCCCCCAACCACCCCACGCCTCTCCCCCGCTCCTCCGCTAAGTGGCCAGGCTTTAAGCTTTGGCCGCCGGGAGTTTCCGTCTGCTGCCAAGTCAAACAGAAGACAATTTTCATTTAAGTGCCCACTAAAATGATTTTCAACAAGCGAAAGACACAACTTTATAAAAATATACATAGAATCCCTCATGGAATACTCTCCAGAGAGAGGGGGTCTAACGTTTTGTGACTAAACGTCAAAGATACACTTGTTTTGCCACAAAAGATACACCATAAGGCATGTGTATTGGTATAATCGTACAAAAATCAATTAAAAGGGAATACTTTGTGGTGAAAACTGTGTAGATCCTAAAGATATTCCTCTAAAACTCAACAATCTGTTGGAGTTTCAGGTGTTTTTTACATCTTTTCTGCAAAAGATACATTTTATAGGAATAATTCTACAAAAATCACTTAAAAGAGAATACTTTGTGGGGAAAAATTGATAGTTCCTAAAGACATTCCCTGAAAACTCACCAAACTGTTGGAGTTTCAGCTGTTTTTTACAGATGTGCTACAAAAGATACATTTTATAGGAATAATTCTACTAAAATCTACGAAAATAGAATTCTTTCTGGTGAAAACTGTGTAGTTCCTGAAGATATTCCTTGAAAACTCAACAATCTGTTGGAGTCTCAGTTTTTTTTTAAAATCTTTTCTACAAAAGATACATTTTATCGGAATAATTCTACAAAATTCAATTAAAGGAGCATATTTTGTGGTAAAAACTTTGTAGTTCCTAAAGAATCTAAAGAAATAAAGTACCTTTGCTACAAAAGATACATTTTCCTTTCATTTTCATTTTTATTTCACTCTTTTTTTGCATATTTAATGTATCTTTCAAGTGTATCTCTGGCTTCGGTGCCTCGTTTCGCCTTAGATACTCTTCATCTGTTGGTTTTTTTCGTGTCTGGGCCTGCGGCTGTTTATTTTCATTAATTGTTCTCATGAGGAAAACAGCAACAAGCGACGAACCCGAACCCGTAGTCGCTGCCGCCGCCGCCGCCGAACCAGGGCCGTGTTGTTGGCATGAAAAGTGTGACAAAGTGTTACGCATGCAAAAGATACATTTTCATCGTATGGTTTTTGTTGTTCTCCATGTTAACTTGTTGGACTCTCAGCGCAGGAGGAGAGGGGGAGCTGCATGAGGGGTATCCCGCTGTGTGAATGATGGACTTTGTTGCCGCCTCCGTCTCCTGCTTCTCTTCTCATTCCATCATCGTTTTTTTTCGTGTCGCATGCAACTTGCATGTTTTCTATCTATGTATCTGCAAGATACTTTTACCCCCAACACACAGATACACATACAATTTGACTAATGATCTTCTCTCTCTGTTTCTCAAATTTCTTTTTCTTTATTTTATTTTGTATTTTTTAATATTAAAAAATTCCCAAGGTTGCCAAAATCCACCAAATATGGCATAACACAGCAAAATAAATAATAGTTTGTAGTTTATTTTTGGAGCCGTTAAGTAGCCAAAGGTCGCGGCATCTTGAAGCGTCTTTAATCCCCAATGAGGGGGGGCGGGGGGTAGGGGGTCCCAATGAAAACACAACAGCATCTTTGCAGCTTCTCGGGTGTCGGTAAGGGGAGATCTCTGGGTCACACAGAGCAGCTGTGGCCTCACAGATACGTGCCTCTACTCTTAGAGATACTCCTCTCCTCTGAAAGATACTCCTCTCCTCTGAAAGATACTCCTCTCCTCTGAAAGATGCTCCCTACCTCGGCTGAGATACCTCTCCTCTCATTTGCCAAAGCAAACAAATTGGCGCCCCATCTATCGGATTGTTAACACTCTCGGCCGTACCATAGAACCCCAGCGCGTAACTACAGATATTTCTGGCCCCAAGAGTCGCCGTCTCCGTCGCCGTAGCCGTAGCCGTCGCCGTGGCAACCGGTTCCGCAGAAACTTAATTAAAATAATATCAACATAACAATTTTTGTTGTTTTTTCTTCTTCCTCATCGGAGCCGTTAAATGTATCTACACATCCATCTATCTCGCTGTTCCCTCGCTCTGTCTCTGCCAATATTCATTCATGGGCAAAAGATCTTGACGTCCGTCCGTTCTACTACACAAAAATAAAGAAAAATGCTATGCAAAAATATGCAGAGTGAAAGAAAAGACACGACAGAGACGTCGGTCTCCAGACGGGGGGGGAGGCTGGGGGTGGGGGAAACACACAAGATTTACAATATACATAAACGTAGATACGGATTCAGCTTCGGCTTCAGACACAGACAGTGGCAAGTGGCTAAAGGGGAAGGCGGCATTTAGATTTGAGAGCAAGATCCGGATTATAAAACATAAAGATCCAAAGAGAAAACGTTGCCAGATGGAAAGAAGTGGGGCTGAAAGGGAGAACAGTTCCGCATGGGGTCTTAGACGATCATCTTCGCATGATCTACAGTTTTCGAAGCTTGAAGACCCCTTGAGTGACAGTTTCCAGGCACAAATCAGTGCAAATATCGCAGCACACGTGCCGCAACCTCAAGATACCCCAAAAAATATGATTCTGAACAGGAAAATACATACTTTATAAGGTCTTAAACGATTCCAAGCCCATTCCTCCACTTCTTTTGGTCTTGCAGGCCACTTTAGATACTCTTTAGAGCATATGCTCTTACTCAATATCCCTCTTAGCCAATTCCTACTGTGGCATCTACACAGCTTTGGTTTATATACAGAGGTTCTCTGTTTTCTGTTCATTTCATTTAAGGGAGTGTCAATTGTTAGCCAAGTTATTAAGCGGCCCGGAGAGTTTCGACCAAGACAAAGACCAAGAAAAAACCCAGAAACCAGCAGGAGAAGGAGTTTAGAATCTCCCTCAACCAGTTTTCAGTCTCTGTTTTCGGCGTTTCGGGCTGGATGATTCATGTGGCAGGAGGCACAGATACAAATCTTTGATCGACTGTAAAAATTATTGACTCCAGCGCATAATTTTATGAATGAACTCGAGAGCCGCACAAAAGATACAGCACAGCACGCGCTGGGCTTAACACAAATGTATCTACGTATCTGCGGGTGTCTGTGTGTCTGTATATCTGTGTCTCTGTGTCTCTGGCTTTTGCTTTGGCTTTTTTTCGAATGTAATTTCACTCGGACGCTGTGTGTCTCGAGTGCACTCTTTGCCATGGAAATTATGCGTGAAATCAAATGTAAATAAAAAAAGGAAAAGTGCCAAAAGCTTTAGAGGCTGCCCCATACCCTGTATAGAGGTGGCAGTGCACCTCTGGCGACCTTCTTCAATGGGTATCTGCCTTGTCGTGTGTGGCTTCTTCGTCGCTGTGGCACGGTAGTTATTTTGGCGCATAGCTGCCTGTCAACACAAGTGCACTTGTAATGCAAATCAACGCGGTCAAGCCTTTTGCCTTCGCCAAACAACACTCGAGAGCGGCGCGGTCTCCTCCGACGATGACGCCACACATCCATGGACAGAGTGAGGAGCTGGCCGACTCGTTTCACAGAGATCTTTCGGTTAGTTTATCTGTGATAAACATCCATAAGATACAACAATTATAAGCCAAGTTTATGGAGACATTTCATACGAAAAATGATCAGCCTCTCTAATTAAGTTGGAGTTTTGGCGATTGCATAAGGCAGGGCGGAGTGGGGGGGGGGGATTGCATAAGGTCATACGCAGCGAGTGACCCATAGATGACCCACTTTTACCCCCGGAGCCTCCCTGTGGGAGAGTGTGGGAAAGCCACAACTGTTCTACTTCTCAGGCCCGGGGCAAGTGCTTAATCGATTTTAATTTAATTGCTGCCCGACCGTGGGTGACAGTATGTATCTTTTTCTTCCAATTGCTAGACGATCGTTTTTTTGTTTTTTTTGCTGTTATGCAATTGAACAGCTGTCATGGCAAATCAATTGATTTCTTTGCCATCTCCTTAACTAATCAATGGTTTTCCTTTCTCTTTCTTTTTAGGCGGCGTAGCCCCTGGAACTCCATCAGCGGCCATGATCATGGAAGGGCTTGAAACCCTGGTGACGCCAACCCATCACTGCTCATTCCTGCTCACCGAATCGGCCGCTGCGGCCCATTTTAATGTCTTGAGCTTCGACACGTGCCTCTACAAGACGACCACTGCCGCCCAGAGTAGCAGTCCATCGGCAGGTGGTGCGGGCACTGCCTCAGCCTCGTATCTGAGTCCGGCCCAGTTTGGACAGACCTCGGCAGCGGCCTCCACATCATCATCATCGTCATCGTCGTCGTCGTCGCTGTTGCAGCACTATACCACAGCTTCGGCGGCGGCTGTTGCAGCTGCAGCTGCCCATCATCATCATCAACAGCAGCAGCACAACAACAGCAGTCCCAACAATTCCGTTCTACGGGCTCGCAATCAAACGGCCACACCCACGCAGGGCGGCAGTCCCAGCAACGTGGCCGTGCAACCGAGTGCCACGGCCAGCAGTGGTCGCAACTCGGCCTCGCATCTGAGCCTGCTGAATACCAGCCAACACGGCGGCAGTCCTGTCACAGCCACCACGGGCGATCACACGGAGGGGTACAAGCATCCGATCGAGGCACTGCCGGGCGATCTGAACACCCCGGTGACCACATCCAGCGATATACCCTCGTTCTTCGGGCCATCCACAGTGGCGGAGCCACCTCCAATAACCGGTAAGTGTTAGCCCAAGACAGGGAGGGAAAGGAGTGCCTTTGAAGCCAAGGAAACCCCCCCAAAAGGGCTATCTTTAGGCCGATTTTTAGGGCTTCTAATGACTAGTGCCCCGAAGAGCAGTGCTGCAAAGTCTAGGCCCCACAAACAAACTTCAAAGCTTCCCTTGAAACCAGAGTTTTCTCCGTTGAAAGATTCCTTCTTTTTGGCCAAACTTTCGCCCATAAAATAGTTTAAACAGATATTACCTATAGGCTATATATATACCCTAATCTGTGAGCATAAATCTTCGTTGAAAAAACCCTCGAAAACATTTATAGACCTTCTGTTTTTTTGTTTGTTTCGCCTTGAAGTTCGTTTCTTTATCGGCCTGCTAATGGATGCTGTTGCAGCAGCAGCAGCTGCCACATGTGGCAGTGGCACAGCCAGTTGCAGTTGCAGTTCCTGCTGCTTGGAGTCTAGAGTCCACCAACTAATCCGTTGTCAGTCTTAAGACTCAACATAAATCAGCCTCAAATGGAAGTATGCAAAAAAAAAAAAAAAACAAAAGAGAGAAGCAAAATTGTCGTATCTTTTGGCTTTAATTCTCTTTCTCTAGGCTTTTCCTTTCTTTTCCCTACCCGCAAAAACAAGTTCAAAATCTAAAGCAAACATTTCAAAATTTCAGTCAAGTACCAATTTTCGAGATTTTTTTTTTGTTTTCGATTTATTTGATTTATTTATTTTTTCATTTTTTGTTGGTTTTTTTTCTCTTTTATTTTTGTGTTCATAATTTTGTTGTTGTTATTATTAAATTATGGGGCATGTTAAGAGGTCTCCGGTCTCCAAGAGTCTTATACATCGTTTCTTTCCATTTTGATTACGCGGCCGTAAATATAAATTAATAAAAATGTTGACATCCCAAATGGCTATATCTCTATATAGACTATAGAGAATTTATGTCATAAATGTCTCGGGATACCCTTTACATATAGGGTATTGTGGTTTAGAGGTGACTTTTGTAGGGATATGAATAGGAAAAAAATTTAATTATAAAAACAAAAACAAAAAAAAAAACTATGTAAAAGAAATAAAAAATTATTTAAAAAAAATAAGGTAAAAAAAAATTATTTTACTAAAATAATAAATTACATATATAACAAAAAATTAAAAATTGAATACAAAAAAAATATATAAAACAAATAAGAAATCATATGAAAATATACAATTATTTAACAAAAATAAAAAATTATAATCAATAATACAATTTTTACAAAAAAAAAATGTTTATAATAAAATATAAAGTTATATAAAAAACAAAAAAATTATTATAAAAAAAAATGTTTTTAAGGATAAAAAAATGTCCAAAAAGTCGAAAATAGCAACAACAAATCTTTACAAAAACTCGAAAAAAATTCTGTGAAAACTAAGAAAAAAACAATTTAAAAAAAATACAAAAAATAAAAATAAATTAATTTTATTTACAAAAATTATCAAAAAATTCCAAAATAGTTTCCTTTCACTTTGAAGACCTTTCAAAACCAAATATTTCCCTCTTTTCGTAGTACATAGACTGGAACCCGTAAGATCATAAGTTCCGATATATTTGAGTGTGTAAAAACCGTTTAATCTCCCCCAAAGTTAGTCTCTATTCCTTTTTCTTTTAAACATTTTATATTTTATCTTATTTTTGCACTTTTTATTGCATTTTATTTTTTCCCTCATTGCTCATTCTCATCGCTCAGATATTTCTTATAGATGGGACTGCATAATAATAGGAAAACCCAATTTTAATTAATCTCTAGAACAGCAATAAAAAGAAAAAGGCAATAGCAACAATAGCAGCGCATGTATTAAACATTTCCGTTCAGTGTCAATGTTTCGAGAGCAATTTTCTCACTCGCGCGAAACGCGACTCAAGATACGAGGGATATCGCACACACACACGACTATATGTATATATGTACATATGTATCTTTCCAGAGACATATATGTCGCTGCATTTCTAATTGAATTAAGGCAAAGCAAATAAAGTATACTAGATTTGCTGCTGCTATCAAAAACAATTGGGTTTAATTGTTCTTTCTTTCGTTCGTACGAAGATACATTCTGTTCCAGACAGATTTTCACTTTGGAGATACATTTTTTTATGACAGACTTACAGATTAACTTTGAAGATACAATTTTCTAGCTTGGTTTACTCCGAAGATACAATTTTTTTTTGATAGATTTAGTCCAAAAAAATTTTTATCCAGACAGATTAGCTGTGGAGATACATTTGCCTTGGGGATATATAGTTCAAGATAGATTTACTCTAAAAATACACATTTCTAGACAAATTTGGTCTAAAGATACATGTTCCTAGACAAATTTAGTCTGAAGATTCATTTTTCTGGACAAATTTAATCAAAAGATACATTCTTCTATACAAATTCACTCTAAAGATACACTTTGATAGACAAATTTAATCTAAAGAAACAGTTTTCTAGACAAATTTAGTCTAAAGATACATTCTTCTATACAAATTCACTCTAAGATACACTTTTTTAGACAAATTTACTCTAAAGATAGAGTTTTCTAGACAAATTTACTCTAAAGATACATTTTTCTAGACAAATTAACTCTAAAGCTTCAGTTTTCTAGACAAATTACCTCTAAAGATTCAGTTTTCTATACAAATTTACTGCAATTATACTTTTTTCTAGATAGATTAACTCTTTGGATACATTTTTCTATACAGATTTTCTTGCATCAATTGAAAATGCATAAAATCGCATATATCTTTCGTATGTTTTTTCGAAATAAAATAAGTTTTTGCTTATAAAGACAGAAGCCAAAAAAATGTCACTCATAAATTTTGTGCACCCACGCACAAAAAAAAAACAAACGCTGACCAAAGCCAAAACAAAAAAAAAAACACAAATAAAGAGAAACAAAAATAAAACGGAGACACAGAGACAGAAATCATAGACATGGTTGAGTTTTCAAATGAAAATCCATTAAACAATTTGCATGACAATGACAGAGCGGCTTTTAATCGCCAAAATTGGCAAGAGATTTGGGGACTTGAAACAGAAGAGGGCATTAGTTAGTCATGTGTCCAAAAAAGAGAGATGTATAGATCGCTCTCCCTCCCCTAGAGAGACAGAGAGATGTGAGGGAAAGTCTGGCTCCAGACATCTTTCTTTCTTTAGTTTTTTTTTTTTTGGGACAATAATAATTTGCCCTGACAGCATTAATGAGGCTTGCAATATATATTGTTGTGCTCGTAGAACAATAGGATGATTTTGTTATCGCTAAAAATTCTGTGAATTCAAGCGCATACAATGCCCCCAGCCGGCCCCCTCTCAGTCCCCCCGCCCGGACTGCAAGCAGATTGATGTCGCTGCACATTAGGCGCACTGCGCACTGCACACTGCACACTGCAACTCAATCAATATCCAGGCTAAAGCCGCACAGTCCACAGGCGGCATTAATGACAAGAATCGTGAAACACAGAAAAAAAGGAAAAACAAAAAAAAAACTGTGCTGGGCAGCCGCGTAATTAGTCTTCTCGCCCGACACTTTTGCCTTGCCCCAAGTGCAACATTTTCTGTGTCTCTCTTTGGCTTCTTCTTGTGGCCAAGATGCTGCTGCTGCTGCTGCTGCACGATGAGCGATGAGCGATGATGCCGACCTCCCGTGTTGTTCGATTTCCGCGAAATCAAAGCGCAGCCCAGCTGCAAAGTACTCCCCGAGTATTCCAGTAGCTACCCAATGCCAATGCCATTCAAGCGAACTGTGATTGATATCGCACCCATGCAATCCAGCAGCAGAAACAGCAGTAGCAGGGGCGGGCAGGCCCAGGGGGCAGGGGTAATGGTAAGAGGAGTAGACGCCAATCCATTCATTCCGAAAAAGATTTTCAAGGAAGAGAATTTCTTAAAATATATATACAAAAATCTACAAAACTAATTCGTTTCTTGCACTTCTGTATCCATTTTGCAGGCTCTATTGCTTCAGAGGATCTCTCGCTGGAACCTCAAGTGGCGCTATCGGTGGGGAGTCCTGTTTTATCATCCGTTTGTAGTCCGTTGAAGGAGGAGCGTAGTACGCCGCCAGCATTGACTATCGTTAAGGAAGAATCAAGTAATAATAGTTGTAATATGTATCCACAACACAACAACAACAACAACACATCATCCGCAACAACAACAACTACAACAAAACAGACAACAAGCGAAAGCAACAACAACAACCACACAACAACAGAGAGCGTTGGTTCGCCAGTTAACACTCAACAACACCAACAACAACAACAACAGCTGCATCATAGCAACAACAACAACTCTCACCAACAACAACAACAACAACAGCCACAACACAGCAGCTCCCCGCCGCAGCATCAGCAACATCAATTCCAACAACAACACCAAATATTACACCAACAACAAAATCAACAACCACAACAACAATTACCACATCATCACCACCACCACCACCATCATCATCATCATAATAGTCATCTACAGCAACAACAACAAACTCAACAACAACACCAACAATCTCAACAACAGCTGCAACAACAGCAACATCAACAGCTGCAACACCAACAACAACAGCAACTCCAACAACACCAACACTTTCAACAACAAGTACAACAACAACAACAAACTGGCAAAATCTCATATCGTGGCATTTTCACCACAACAGGAAACGCAATGAATGCCGCAGCAGCAGCCGCGGCTGCCCAACAGCAGCAGCAGCAGCATCAGGCGCAACAGCAGCAACAGCAACAACAGCAACTTCCTTCCCCACAATTGAGTGTCCTACCCGGACAGATGTCGCCGCCATCAAATAGTTTGGGCAACAGTTGGGGCCTCCCCTCGCCGGACAAGTCGCTCTTCCAGCCACCGATGTTCGCACACTACGCCACCATGCAACAGCAGCAGCAACAACAGCAGCAGCAGCAACAGCAACAAGCTGCCGGTGCCACACCCTCGCCATACGATGATGGACGGGCAGCGGCAGCAGCAGCCGCCGCCCAGCATGCGGAACTCCTGGGCTTGTCCATGGATTGCACACCGTTGCTGCTGAAGCAACCGCCGCCCACATATGCGGGTCCCTCGGTGTCCACGGCGGGATTCGCCAGCCTGGCTGAGCTCCAGAGCAGCCACGACCAGCTGCAACAGCAGCAGCAGCAGTATGCCGTGCGCTCACAGCTCTCGAGCGTGTCTACGCCGAAATATCAATGGCTGGACTCTCCGGCGGACTATGCGCCACAGCAGCAGGTGCAGCAAGTGCAACAGGTGCAGCAACAGCAACAGAATCTTGTCCTGCCGGGGCCCACATCCTCGGCCAGCTCCAGCAATGCCGCCCTGGGTGTGCTCATCCCCAAGCAGGAGACCTATCCCGACATGCAGCCCAATTCCAATGGAACGGGCTACTCTGGGGCCTCCGGTGGATCAGCAGCTGCAGCTGCTGCCGCCGCCGCCGCCGCAGCGGCTGCTGCCGTGCAACTGGCCGAATATAGTCCCTCCACCAGCAAGGGCCATGAGATACTGTCCCAGGTCTATCAGCAGAGCACTGTGCCGCTTAAACTGGTGCCCGTCAAGCCGCGCAAGTATCCGAATCGGCCGAGCAAGACGCCCGTCCATGAGCGTCCCTATGCCTGTCCCGTGGAGAACTGCGACCGGAGGTTCTCGCGCTCGGACGAGCTCACCCGCCACATACGCATCCATACGGGTCAGAAGCCCTTCCAGTGCCGCATCTGTATGAGGAGCTTCAGCCGCAGCGATCACCTCACCACCCACATACGGACCCACACGGGCGAGAAGCCATTCAGCTGCGACATTTGTGGCAGAAAATTCGCCCGCTCCGACGAGAAGAAGCGCCACGCCAAGGTCCATCTCAAGCAGCGCATCAAGAAGGAGTCCAAGTCACGGGGCGAACAGCAGTCACAACAGCAACAGCAGCAGCAACAGCAGCAAACACAGCTCCAACAGCAACAGCAACAACAACAGTTGCAACAACAGCATCTCCACCAGCAGCAATATCAGCATCCGCATCATCATCTGTTGCATGCCGCCGATCTGGCGATTGTCACCTCAAGTGCGAGCATGTAGAGTCTAGAGAATTCAGCATCATCCATTGATCCGAAGCCACCAGCCGCCGGCTCGGGGAATCTACAGTCCCTGCAGCAGCCCCATCTCGATCTATCGCTGGCCATCGATGAGAGTGGATTCCCGTTTGAGTTGACCTCCGATTATGGCACCATATCGCCGCTATCGAGCCCCCTGAAATTCAATCATCTGTGGGCCAATCACGAGTACTACAAGGACAATCCATCCTCTGAGATCTGATCAATCAATCAATCGCTGATACTGATGCTGAATAATCTTACTAGTTTGTAGTTGTAATCCAGGGGTTGTGCTAGATGGAGAAATCAATTTTCAAGACATTAAATCTTAAAGAAAAACCATATGCTACGATAAAACATACGATAGTTAATATATATCACACATCAATGGAAAAAAAAACACACACACAGATTTACTAACCATACAAAAAAAACACACACACAAAATGCTGTTGAAAGTAATCGAAAGTTATCGATATCGATCAAAAATATCGAAATTACAAAAACGTGGTGATCGAAAAAATTATTATTTCGGTCGAAATGTTATCGAATATTATTTATTCGATGGATTGATGATGAAAAAGTGATCGATAAATTATCGAAAATAATCGAATTGATGAATAAACATATAAAAAATAATACAAAATATAAAATATACAAAAAAAAATGGGAAAATATTTAACTTATGTCTCTAATACTGTGATCTCATGTGTAATAATTATTAATTTTAATTTCCTTACATAACTAAAAACAAAAAAAACAAAAACCACACACAACACAAAATAATTTTAAAAATTATAATCCTTTCGCCTTTTGCCTTTAGCTAATGTTCATTTTTAAAAAATGCTAACACACAAAAACACACACTAATTTATTGCATTTTAAAAATAATTATAAATACAAAATATATATCGATTATAATGATTAACTTATTGTCTTAAAGGTATAGATTTAGGTTTTAACACACGAACAAATAACTAAATAAAAAATCTTAGCATATCATTTTGTTTCCTCTAAGCATTATAAATTTAAAAGAATTAAATTTACAAAATTAAAGCGAACATTGTTTGACATAATGTTGCCCATTGTACTTCCTTAAAAATGATTCGAAATCAATTTAAAAAAATTATCAGATATGATTATTTTATTTAATTTTATTATTATTATTTTTTAATTTATAAATGTTCAATATACTGTAGAAAACAATTTCTTATTAGTTGTTACAATTTTTTGGATCATAAGTTGAGTTAATTTTTATATACAATTTAGTTTTAAATTTAATTTTGACAAAATATATAACAATTTTTTAAAAAACAATTTATTTTTGGTTTTTGCCTTTTTTTTAAATATCGAAAAACTTCATAAGTGTTAGACAATAGGAATCTTTGATAAGTTTCTAGCTGAAAATGAAGCTGAGCCTGGTCAAGCGTTATGCAGCAGCGCACATCGGTAGCACACACGTATACACACATACATATATTTAGGATGTTGAATGTTCAGATTATTGTGAAAATAAGGCCTAACGAATACCACAAAAATGGAACTCTTGTGCTAAATATAAGATATAAGAGGGAGTGCTGAAATACGAATGTAACGAATGGTTTGAAATCTATATATTTTTTAGGCAAAACAATTTATATTGAAAAATATATATATTTGCATAGCCGCTAACTGAAAGACACAAATTAGAAGGGGATTAAGTGTAAAATTTAAGGTATGTAGGATAATAGTATTTCTATAGAAATATGTGGATTTAAGGGCAGTGCCAAGATCTTGTTCTATATATATTTGTATTGAGAGTTTGTCGTTTCTGATACCCCTCATTCCCGCATACAAAAAAAAATGCCTACAAACCAAACAAATAAATGTGTGAAACTTATGTGCCATTAAGAAATTACAAAAAAACAACCCAAGAAGCTTATAAAAAATACACACACATAATGATTTTGAAATTTTAAACGTTGTGATTACATACATACATATATAAAAAAATATATTTGTTAATTTAAGGCAGCGGTGGGACGACACGGGACCGACAGTGCAAAAACAAAATAGGCATAAAGATCTTAGGGACCCAGAATGCAGACCCACCGCTGATTTAATGCATGGTTCAGTGTTAAAAAAAAAAAATAAAAAATAAAATAAAAACCGCTTAAAAGTTCCATTTAGATGTACATTTCAATGTGTGTGTTTACAACTTAAAGAAGAAAAAAAAACCCGTTGCTTATGGACAGTTTTTCTTCCATATTTATAGATAAATGTAATACTCAACACTTGGGATAAATGTATTTTATTGATGCATTCATTTAGCTAGAACAACAATTATTCGCTTAGCTAAGCAGAACGCCAAACACAAAAAAAAAACACAAAAAAAATATATTTCAAATGCTCAAAAAGTGTATTTTTTGGTGTGTGTTAAAAATTAGATAAAAGTGAATGTTTTTCTCATGTGTGTGCACATTAAATATACTATAAACGAAACGAATATTATATTCATTAAACATTAAGGCTCTCTCATTGTTTAAGACTGTCTTTGTGTTTAGATCGAATGTTGTTTGGGTTAGATGTAGGATCCTCTCTATATACGATATATATCAGTTATCTTTTTCTATATAATTATCTATATCCTGGAGTTAGCATAAGTTCGATATATACAATAATAATCGAATTATATACCACACACACAAACACACACACAATAATAATATATGCATAAATTTGGCAGAAAACACTTTTTGAAAGCAAATTAAATGAAAACTAAATTTAAAATTTAAACAAAAGATCTACTGTGTGTGTATTTCTGTTCTTGTTGGGGTCTGTTTGCTGGTCATATAAATTAGTTTGGCATTCGTTTGGGACCCATCGAAATGCAGACCCAATAAAAAGCGCAATAAAATTGAAAATAATAGCCACAGTGGCTCCAGAGGAGTCGACGACATGGACAACGATGTGGACACGGACATGGCCATGGACATGGCCATGGACGATATATGCCAGCACTCAAAACTAATGAAATGTTCCCAAAGTCCACCACCACCGCCGCCAAGCGGAAAGTCGATTGACCAGAAAAGCCTCTCCTTTTCGCAGATCTTTTCTGTTTTCATTTAGGAGAGCTGCTGCTCTGCTGCTCCGCTGCTCTGCCGCTCACCTGCTGCTGCTGCTGCTGCTCTGGCACTGGGCTGCCAGCAGCGACAGGCGCATGTCGGGGTCTAAAAATTCTTCTAAAAGACGAGCAGCCAGCCAATGTCTCGGGGAAGCGCGCTGCCAAAGTTATGAGCGCAATTCTATCGTAAAAATGCAAAAAGGAAAATCAACTTGAATGAAACTATGGAATGAGGAATGCTCTACAACAGGCTCTCCAATGCTCCCACTCGCCATGGCTAGGCGTATACTGCCCAAACAACATACATGTCATGTACATGCCTGACTCTTTTTTTAGAGAAATTTCGGTTCTTTCTTCGCCACCTTCCGCTGGAACTCAAGGACTCTTCTTCTTTAGGGGGCGATGCCTTACAACATACATGTCGTGTACATGACTGACTCTTTTTTTTCGTGAAATTTCAGTTCTTTCTCCGCCACCTTCCACTGGAACTCAAGGACTCTTCTTCTTTAGGGCAAAAAAAAATGCAAAATGCTTTCATGCTCTGCCCCCGCCCCACCGTTCTGCCTCTTGCGGTTGGCTGCCACAGTTAAGGTTCGTTCTGCCTTGACCGAAACTAGAAATTCTTGTCTTTCGCAGGCAATCATCAACAGAGGAGGCTCTAGCTCTAGCTCTAGCTGTAGCTGGAGGTACGGCTTGTGTGATTTGTGTGCTTGCGGTACAATTTGAGCCCCAAGCATGCCACAGTAGTTCTTGTGTGTGTGTGTGTGTGCCCCAGTCTTCTTTCAGCAACGCTTATGACAGGCGCAAACAAAATTATTTTTGCATCCTTTAGGCCGCCAGGTGATGAACCGTCGAGCGTCTCATGTGGCATCTGTGTAGATGTCGTCTTAAGTGCCACCGATTTGACATGTTTAGGTGTTTAGATGTGGCACGATCCCAGATATGCCACCAAATTGATTTCGTTTTGATAAGCGGCAACATTTCATTTTTAATCGCTAATATTTTGAGAGTCATTCGATTGCATTTGAGTTGTCATTTGATAGAGAGAGAGTCATTCGATTGCCCCACAGAAGAGACAGACAGACAGACAGAGAGAGAGGGAGAGAGGGCGAGCGAGAGAGAGAGGTGGCCTCTGGCTATCACCTGGCGAGAGGTGTCGCCGAACCGCGCCGTCACTCAGTTGTTGACTATCAAAAACCGGACTCTACAAAAGCCCCCCGAGAGTCGACTCCACTCCATGACCGCATGGAGCCAGCATAAAGGACTGCCAGCAGCCGATCGACAGCTACGCCGGGAATGTCATGCAGACAATCTCTCTAGTGCCTTGCGAGCAATATCTTTTTCTTTTTCTTTTTCGTTTTTTTTTCAGCTTTTTGCTTTTTTGCTTAACTGCTAATGAGTTGCCGTTAGTGTGATTTATTTCCTAAATAAATAGAATTGCCAGCAGTTAAGCCAAGTTCAAACTTTGCATGCCACATGCCACATGCCACATGCAACACACAACACGACACGAGACAGCCAGAGCCCGTGCCCTGACACACTGATCCCACCCTCAAAAATCAAATTAAATATATCGCTGTACTGACGAAAGTTTTTTGCTGGTAATTCGTTTTCCGGTTTTTTTTTTTACGCGTTGCACAACGAAAAAAAAAATTGATCGTTTTCGTATGTTGAGGGTATGATGAAATTTTATAATAATAAATAAATGAAATAAAAAAATTATTAAACAGTAAATTAATGAAATAATAAATTAATTTAATAATACATATGGACATAAGTTATTAAATAAAATCAACAAATTTTAAAGAAAAAATTAAAAAAAAAAAATCGAATTATTAAAAAATTATTATTAAATTAAGAAACGAATAAAAAAAATTCAAAAAATTCGAAAAATCAAAAAATTAATGCACAAGAAAACAATAAAAAATTCAAAAATTAATTCATAAGAAAACGATTAAAAATTAAGACAAAATAGAATAATTAAGAAATTAATTCACAAAAAAAACAATAAAAAATTTAAAAAATCGAATGATAAAGAAATTAATTAATATGAAAACAATAAAAAAAATGGTTAAATAAAAAAAATTTAATAAATTAATCTAAAAAACATGTTTTTTAATTAATTTATGTACATAGATATGTACATATGTATATAAAAACTAAGAAATAAATTAATAAAAAAATAAATATATTTATATATTGAAAATATATATAATATTAAAAGGTTTTGGGTCAACTTGTGGGAGTGGACGAAGGGCTTGCTTCCTAGTTTTAAATAAAAAATAACAAAATTTATTACTAAAAAAATCCTTTTATGCTTAAGATAAAATAAAACAAAAAATATATTTTATTCAATTGAATTTAAAACAAGTATAATAATTAAATCTTTTATACAAAAATATAGGAGCATTTTTTAACAAGAGCTAGATTTGTTTAAATCAAAATGAAACATGGAAAAAAAAATAAAAAAATGTAGGTCCACAATGAAACTCCCTTCGGAA